AAAGGATGTTTTTGTAAGTGTATGTAACTTTTGTCCGATCCATTTACATTGTGGTAATACAATATGTTTAAACCAAAGTGTTTTGCACATTGTCGTTCAACTCCCGTCAGAACACTAGTCTAAGTTATAGGTGGCAGTCGTATGGCAAAGTCAAACTATATTTTTACCCTTTTTTGCCATCGTTCTCAGTTTTTATTTAAAAATATAACCCCCACTCGTAGGATAATCGTAGTCTAGAAAGTGCCACCAAGTTAGCCTTTTCTTCTCATGTTCACATGGTTTCCGGTGTTTTTTATGAGAACTCTGCAGTGGGGTTTAGGTTCAATTGACCAATCATAACGGTTCACTTTGAAAGGGGACAAGATGTGGTTTTATTTCTGGTCGTTTGTTCGGTGGGCGCCTTATGCTATATTTTGTTGTCATCGAAAGTATGGCTCTGTGCGATGAGACTTTGTTTATTTACTAGTATTTCATCTTGAGACTCATTCTAAATGGGCGGAGATTGGAGATTGCTTCGACTATAAAACTGGGCGCGTATCATTCATCGGGGGCGTTTCAGTTAGTGACTCCCGAGGTGAGGTAACCTTTATCATATGTAAGACACAGACCGGTTGTCAGAGTCGATGGTCACCTCTTTTATGTTTGGGCTAGATTGTTTGAGCGTATTTCTTACTCTTGGATAATGGTTCTGATTTGGGGGGAAAATATATAGTATAATTTGTATCTACTTCTCGCTTCGCTGTGGGGACCGCTGAATCGATCCACGGTCTAAATAATATTGGGATTTGGTCACTTGATTCGTGAAGAAGAATTCGGTGATTTCGTTTTTAATGGTGTTCTAGTAGTTTAGACATTGCGTTATACTGCCAGACACTGGAGAGATAGACATTGTGGCCTTTTCACTTGATTCGTGAGGAAGAATTCGGTGATTTCGATTTTAATGGTGTTCTTGTAGTTCAGACATTGCGTTCTACTGTCGGACACTGGGATATAGACATTGCGGCCTTTTCACTTGATTCGTGAGGAAGAATTCGGTGATTTCGTTTTTAATAGTGGGCTAACGGGCTGTACAGGATTGATGAATCGATTCACCACAGTGGGTTAATTCATTCCGTAGTTTGAGAAATAGACTTTGGCGTATAGGTTTCATGATTTCTGTTTAGCATTTCGCGCAAATCAATCATTTGAGACATTAAGGGCACACGTCACATTTCCGAGTCCATTGTTTGGTTTAGAATAGAGGGTGTCAAATTGTGTCTTGTGTGTTGTTTGTTTCATGACATTGGCTGCCGCTGTATCCAGTGTCCGAACCCTGTCCTACTACACTCGGAATAGTCTTTTTAAGCAACTGATTGTATTAGATTAATCAAATAGGTAGGGACTTAGATTGTTTCTATTTTATAATTGAAAATAATAGCCCCGTCCTGGGGTGACGCTGTTTCATTAAATAGGGTACAATCTTTGTGCCGAGGAGTCAAACGGTTAGTTGGTAGTCAGTCAAATGATATCCAATTGTTAGATGGTTCCAGTCAAATGGTATTCAGTCCGATAATATTGTCGTCAGACGGTACTTTAGATTGTATGCAATGAGTGGGTATCTACTTGTCAGGCGGTATTCTATTAGACCGAACATTTCTTGTTTCGAACCTGTCTTGTCTAGGTCTAAAAAAGGGAATAAGATTATGGGCGTAGTTTTGCCCAGTGAGGAGATGTTGGTTATTTGATAAAACATTTTAAAAGATATGTAAAGGTTGATAGCGTCAGGTGTCCGAATCATCAATGGGTTTATTGATGTCACCGTCGTTGGCTGTGAAGGAAGAATCGTTAGTGTTGGCAATGTCAGAGTTGTTGGCTGTGTCGAAAGAAACTCGATGTAGTAGAAAGAATTAGCGCCTGGTGTCCAAATCATTGGTGGTTGTGGGTTTAACGATCTCATCGTCGTTGACTGTACACGAAGAATCATCATCGGTGGGTTTGTCGATGTCATCGTCGTTGGCTGTGAAGGAAGAATCATTGGTGGTAGCAGAAGTTAACAAAAACTGTAAGAGTTGTTAATAGTTGTTGGCAGTGGTTGAAAGATTATCATGAGTGTTTAATCGGGGAAGAGTACCAAGTATAGTCTGCAACGCTTTCCTGGGGAATTCCATTTTAGATACGGCGGAGAAATGAAGGGGACCTAACAAGACAGAGATAATTAAACGTTGAATCTCAAACAAGAATAGTTTATGCGGTCTATTATAGAATATGAATAGTTCATTTTGAATTGAATGCAGATAGTTTTTATTGTTGATTATTAGAAGATGTGTGTGTGTGTGTGATCACTGAGATGTTATGTTGAAAATTTGAGATTTACTAAGTTTAGCAGTGGTTACAAAGCTAATTGGTGGTTCCTGGGGTCGAATGTGGAGATGTCAAGGGGGTATCAGCTCTCCAGGTGGACCACCCCTGCAGAATTACGGTGAAATCATTGATATTATTCCTGCTCAGTAGAGTTATAGTGAGGGTGGTGTCTTCTAAGAATTATTCATGTTTCTGATTGGTTGGATTGTCCTGTCCTGTTTATAATGTGTGTATTTTTAGTCTGGGCAGAACTTTGATTCAGCCCACTGTACAAAGGGGGGGGGGGCTTAATAAAACTGGGAGGTGTGTAGTGATTTCGTAACTTGACAGGTTTTCAACGTTTCAGAGTAGGTTTGGCTCTCCCAAACTCAACCACATTGATGGGTTGCCTAAACTCGACTACCTATATGGATCGCCCAAACTCTTGTATAATCTTGAGGTGCACGTGCTGTTGGCCTATATAAGAGGGTTGATTAGCTTAAGTGGGGTGTGTTTTACTGCAGATTAGAAATGCTCGCCTGTCTGGCAGACCAGTGGATTTTATGGATATCACGGTCGCTTATTTAGCAGACCGGGTGATTTTATATACTAGTATTTTATAGTGTTCTGATGGAGTTGTCGATTGGTAGATCTCAATAGCCCTTATATAACCTTCCTTCATTTGGCAAATCACTTCAGATATCGCATTTGAACTTGGTTCTCCAGCTTCAAAATTTGTATTGGCTAAATTGTGTTGTAATGTTTCAATAATAACATAGGCAATTTTTCCACTTCTCCGATTAACTATGATCAAAAAAAAAATATGTTTTTGTTTTTTTTTGTTTTTTTTTTCGGGGGGGGGGGGGTCCAAATTGTTTTAAACGTTTAAAACATGATTTAAACAAAATGTTTTTTTACATGTCAAAACTGCCTTAAGTTATTCTTTAAATTCCAGTTACTTTAGTTGACTACATTAGAATGCTACATATTACGATCTGGCATTTGAATATATACTATTCAAAAAAAGTAGGGGATATTTGATTTTGGGGGCATAATACTAAAATATGCAAATGACTACGAAAAAAGTCACTATAGAACCTAACAGAAGAAACATTTCAAGTTACATGTGACGCCCAAACGCACCAATAGCTACCGCATGGAATGCAGGTGATGCTTGGGGTCATCATGGGGGTCCAACCCAAGATTTGCACGACTCTGACTTTGAATGTTACAGTCATTGTGGCATTGAATTCCAGGGTGGAAACATCAGTTTAATTGTTTTAGTGACCAGAAAACAAATTTTGATATGCGTCGGCTTACCCAAAATGAAAGGTTACGTGCCCTTGGTATGCTACAGATCGGCACAACACAGGCGGTTGTGGCGCGGACGATGAATGTTTCTCAGTCTGTCATAAGCAGGCTATGGTCCAGATACCGTGATACACAATCTGTACAGGAAAGACCACGCTCAGGTCGACCAAGGGCGACAACTCAAGCCCAGGATCGATTTATCCGTACCTTGGCCTTGAGAAATCGTGTCATCACAGCAAATCAGATCAGCGCTCGTCTTCAAACAGACACTGGTGTGAGAGTGAGTGGCCAGACGATTCGGAATCGACTGCATAGGGGTCACCTTCGCGCCCGACGTCCTCGCGTGATCCCTTGTTTGAGAGATCATCACATTCAGGCAAGACGTCGTTGGTGTAGGGATCGTCAACACTGGGATAATCGACGCTGGAGCAATGTGATGTTTTCAGATGAGTCAAGGTTCACTGTTTTTTTTGACAGACGTAGGAGGGTGTGGCGTCGTCGAAACGAGCGCTTCCAAGACGTTAACGTCATCAGACATGATCGATTTGGGGGTGGTTCTGTTGGTGTGGGGAGGCATCACTGTTGCTGGAAGAACGGCTTTACATGTTGTTGCAGGGCGTGTTACAGGCCAGTACTACCGGGACAACATCTTGGCAGTCCATGTTGTGCCGTTCGCACGACGTCATGGCCGCCGTTTCATCTTCCAGGATGACAACGCAAGATGTCACAGGGCCAGGATCGTAATTACCTCCAACAACAGAACATTACCACATTACCTTGGCCAGCACTGAGTCCCGACCTCTCCCCCATCGAGCATGTCTGGGACATGCTTGGACAGAGGTTACGTCAACGTCAACAACGTCCTGCCAATGTCCAAGAACTTGCTGCTGCGTTGCAACAGGAATGGGACAATCTGGACCAAAATGACCTTAGACGTCTCATTAGGAGTATGCCACGTCGGATCAATGCTTGTTTGGCAAACAGAGGAGGATTTACCCGTTACTGACTTGGTTGTGATGCTGTGGTAACTTTGCTGTTTGACCCCGGGTATCATTTTACCCTTATAATGGTCAGTCTGTGCCTTACTTAGTCTAACGATCATTTGGAATAAATCGATGAATGTGAACTTCATTTCATTTTGTCATTTGTTTCTTCGTCAGTTTCATTAGGTGACTTTAATAACACTTAAAAATCAAATATCCCCTACTTTTTTTGAATAGTATATTAGCAATGCCAACAACTACGATAAACACAGTAAATAAGATAAATCAAACATATCATTTCACGTGTTCATTTTTCTTTTTACCTGTATCGGAGTACGCATGCGTAGATCGGTAGCGTGCTTATCAACGGTGAGTGAAGTGGTGAAAACAACAGTTGTCACTTTTCCTAACAGTAAACAAATTAACGTAATCTAAAGACATGTAATAACTGAATATATTATATTTTATGAAATATTAGATAATATGTGAATTGAATAGGCGATACGTGTAGTTGAAAAACAATGACTTATTACAGTGGAAGTACCGGAACGTAAGCAGGTGACAGTAAGTCAACTGTAATATTGTAAACAAAGTTACGACAAATTGTTATAAGGAATCCAATATTTAAAAACGGTTGGGTTTTTTTTCACAGTACTGCATAACTTGTAAGATGTGCTTTACCACCTATTAAACTTAGAAAATGAACATTATATTTCTATAAAGTTATAATTTATAAAAAGAATTATAATTTACAATCATGAGACATGAAAGAACAGATATGTATTCCAGACCCAAAGAATTTTTTCCCTACATACCGCTTCAGTCGGATGTTTGTGATAATGCCTTCAAAAGTCGAGAGAAGAGTAGCATGACATCAAGTTTTAAAAGTGGTTCAAGAATAACTGACATTGGTACTTGGAGAAAAAACTTGTCACCACAACATTTGGATAAATCTTTTCATCTGCCTATAGAAAAATTAGCTTTATCTCCTCTTGACAACACACCTAGACAGCGTTATGCTGGTGTACCTATGGTAAATATTATATTTTCATATTATATAGCATAAATAAATGATTACTCACTTACCTGTTGTCAACAGCAGAATAAAGACATATACCGGTAACAAGCAATTTACAAGAACATATTCATAGGCGTACAAGTCCAGTTAGCTTAACCCTTGTGGGTGCACGTTGTGAGAATCGCATAGCAGGTATCATGTGGTCCATATGGATCCCAGTTATAATTCAAAATTTTTACGTACAAATATATTTGAATTTAAATGCAGCGGCTGGGGTTTTTTTTTGCATTCATATTTGACATCTGAAAAACAACCATGGAACAGATTTAATGATTCTCACAAAATTGCTACTTTGTGTACTATGTGATAAAGAGGTTAAATGGCAATTTACGCTTGATGCAAAAACCATTGAATATTTGGAATTCATCATTTAATTTTTGGTATTTGTAACTTGCAGACGCTAAAAGATAGAATACTCTGGCCTACGCAATATGGTATCAGGCAGCAAACACATTAGCAAAATCACTACTGTGTGTTATCAGTTGGCCGATTGGACCCCATGTTCCCTTCAAGCATTGGGCCTGATTTGCATGTAACGTAACTCTGCATGTGGGAAGCAGATGAATACCGTTCTCTTCGCTACGTGTAAAAATGTATAGGAGACAAAGTCACTAAATTTCAGAAAGCAGTGCCCAGTAGTTATTACAAATCACGTGCACCAACAAGGGTTAAGGGGGCGAGGGGCAGAAATGGGTGTGCCCAAACTTATTTCCATAGCCCCAAATGTGTTTTACTGCAATTTGGATCTTGAGTGAAGTAAGAAGAAAGTAGTCTACTAAATCTTTATCTGTCTTTGGAACCAAAATCGCCCTGTGTTCAAATGAATTCCAGATTATGGGGGAGAGCTAGGGAGAGAATTGAAATTAAACAGCCACAAATGTGTTTTCAGGCAATTCCGGCTTGTGTGAGTAAAGCAACAAGAAAGTAGCCTAATATAGTCTTATTTATGTCACTTTGGAACCGAAATCCCATTCTGTGCCCACCTGAATTCCAGATTTGTGGGGGAAGGTGACAGAAATGAAATGGCCGAAAAAATTCCCGCTCAGATTCCTCAGAGCCGAGGCTGGAGGTATGAAAATTAGATGGCCGCAAACACATTTTCCTGCTGTTGAAGCTTGATCGTGAACACAGTAACCAGAAAGTGGCCCAATATAGCCCATCTGAACTCCAATCAATTAATCGGACTGTTGACGTTGCATTCACATGACATCTGAAAATTTCACTGAAACAAATGATGATGCCCCAAAATCATGTGGCACTTTAGCATAGTAGTTACTTTACTTTTCCAACTAGAAGACAAAAATTATATTAATTGTGTTTCAATTTTACCCTTCTGCCCGAAAAAAAAAATCTGCTTGAAATGTTGATGAAACAAATAATGATCGATGTCCGAAAACTGTTGCACAATGCAGAGTGACTTCAGACCAAATTTTTTTCCTGCCCAAATTCTTGCTGGGATGTGGTGGAGGGGCTGATGAAACTTCCTGGATTATTGCTTCGATTATACCAAATTCATCCATTGTATTTTTATATGCCCACATTTTCATGTGATCAACTCTCTCCCTTTGTATACAGATGTCTGTTCACGTTTTTATATGCCCACATTTTCATGTGGACATATTATGCCATCGCCCCCGTTTGTCCGTCCGTCCGTCCACAATTTGTTTGTGGACACTCTACAGGTCATAGTGTTTATCCAATTTTGACGAAACTTGAAATATAGGTCTTCCTTTCGATATTGGCATGTATCGGAGCATAACTTCATGGATTATGGCCCCTGATTGTTCGAAAAAATCACGATTTTAGCTTGTCGTCCGTCTAGAGGTCACAATTATTATCTGATTTAAAAAAACATTCGAATATATCGCCGTTACACCGTATTGTTGGTTGCATGAAAATCGGACCAAAACTGCCAGACAAAATGGCCGCCACCCCCCCACCCCTTTACGCAAATAATGTAAACATCTGGGGCCTGTTTCACGAAATTTTAACTAAGATAAAATCCAAATTTTAGTAATTTGATTGGATAATATTAGATTGATTATAGTGCTTAGCCAATCAAAATAAGTATCTACTAAAATTAGATTTTGTCTTGAGTTAAGCATTCGAGAAACAGGGCCCAGGTATATCAAGGTTGTGGACCATTTGGAGATCACAATTTTGATCCGATTTTGATGAAACTTGAAATACATGTTGATAACCCACAGATCTTGGTTCCTGTTGATATTTACGCATATCGCATCGTAACTTCCTGAATTATGGCCCTTGATTGTACAAAATTTAGAGGTCACAATTTTTATCCGATTTAAAAAAAAAAATGTGTGAATGTATCACCGTTAACACTAAGAACTTGGTTCCTTTTGATAATTGCGCATATCCAAACATAACTTCCTGGATTATGGCCCCTGATTGTTCGAAAAATTGAATTTTTAGCTTGCGGATTCTCTAGAGGTCATAATTTTTTATCTGATTTTTAAAAACGTTTAGATATATCACCTTTCCACCATAATGAAGGCTGAATTCAAATTTTGGGAAAATTGAAATGAAATTGCCCAACAAAATGGCCGCTCTTATGTACGCAAATTGTGTAAAAGTATGTAATATGAAGGTTGAGGTCACAATTTTTATCCGATTTTGATGAAACTTCAAATGTATGTTCATAACCCAAAGATCTCAGTTCCTTTCGATATTCGCACATATCGGACCATATCTTCCTGGATTATGGCCCCTGATTGTAAAAAAAATCACATTATTTTTTTAGCTCGTTCTCTGTCTATCTCTTGCAAAATGTGGGCGTATCTTGCATGACAACCGCTTGTTTTTTTATGGACGCTGTCTATAGAGGTCACAATTTTCATGAAACTCAAAATATATGTTTTGTCCGAGCAGGTCCGGGTCACTCATCGTCCGATCCGTACAAGATGAGGTGAGTACTCAGTGCCGTCTGTCACGATTGATGACAAACCCGGGATACACGGAATTCAGTATTTTGAGAAGAAATAAATGGTGGGGATACTGGTGATCCTCATCACTGTCAAAATAGGTGCCAATCAGCAATTGCATTGAGAACCCCAAACTTTCAAAAAGTGTGTGAACAAGGATTTAAAAAATAACGGAGACCGATATGAATTATGTAATGTTTATTCTTTCCTTTTTATTGCCCCTATGAGAGTCTTATATTACCAGTATATCTAAATAGCAACACTTGGCAACCGAAAAAAACCATTACCAATTATCTGACCATCACTAGAGAGTACCTTAGGTAAACGGTATGCCATTCTAGGTGTATTGTTGGACATCTAGTGATAGCTGATGGCTTTTGGCAACAGGTGAATTGTGCCATGTATGTTATATCTCCCCAGTCATATATCTCAAGGATTGCATCGGATTTAACTCAGATTAAAATATACACATACGAATCTAATCAAACACGTTTTATTCATCTCTTGTATACAATCAACTCTAATTAACAATAGAGGGGTACAACAATACTATAAGACTATTCAAATACAAACATGCAACAAACAAATTAACAATCGTCATTTGACCATAGCAAAATCTTGATACCTATTAGGCATTCTTCTCAATCTAGTACTAGTAGGCATTCTTCTCAATCTAGTACTAGTAGGACGTAAATTACATTCACGTTCTGACTTACGTAAATCAGTAGAAGATTGAGTATTATCCTGATTAGGTATACTATCTTGATGTACAACATTTTCACTAACATCACTCTGATCTAACACAGTATTACTGCTATCATTTTGACCAGTTGTCTTTTCAACAATAATATCATCAAAATCAAACATTCTATTATTTTTAGACTCAGAGCTTGTAGAACTTTCACCATTAGTACTTTGATTCAACTTATCAATAAACTTTTTAACATGCGTAGAATTTCTCTTGTACCTCACACCTTGTTCATTTTCTACAGTTACACTATTACCATGTTTAGATATGACATGATATGGATTAGCTTCAAAATTTTCCATTAACTTATTCTCAGGCTTTTGTTTCAATAAAACTAAATCACCCTCTTTAACATTACTTTCACAAGCTTTTCTCTTACAGTCAGTATATATTTTCCCTTTCCCTTTACACTCGGAATCATAATCCCTAACAGCTAAATCATCAGAGGAATAATCAAAATCATCCAATGCTGGCAATTTTGTTCTAAGTTTACGTTTAAACAATAATTCTGCAGGGCTAACACCAGTAGTACTATGAGGTGTGGTTCTATACATCCTAAGATATTTACTTAATTCCTCATACCAGTCTCGTTGTTCAATTTGTGCAATTTTCAGTCGCTTAAGCAATGAAGATTCTGTCGCTCAACCTCCCTGAGGCCATATTGGTGTGGTGCGCCTATGCTTAATATCATTACATTCTAAATAATCCTTAAATTGGTCACTAATAAATTGAGGACCGTTATCAGTGGTAATAGATAATGGTAACCCCGATAAGAAACATTCTTTTAAGATTAGCGATAATTTTATCAGATGTTGTGGACTTCATCCATTCCACTTCAATATAACGACTATAATAATCTACGACAACAAATAAATGATCACCTGAAGGTAAAGATGGAGTCATCAAATCTGCTGCTATGTTGCCATGGTCCATTAGGTAAATCAGTAGTTTTCAATGGTTCCGGAGATTGTGTTACGCTAACAATTTGACATGACTTACATGATTTACAAAAATTATCTACATCTTTATCTATACCGGGCCACCAAACCCTAGATCTTAAATGTCTCTTCATGACAACAATACCAGGATGTCCTTTGTGTGATAATGCTAAGACAGTATCTCTTAATTTGTTAGGAACAAGAATTCTAGTACCTCTTAATATTAAATATCCTATTACACAAAGTTCATTTCTAATTGCTAAATAAAATTTATTCTTAAGCTTATGCCATTCACCAGTTTTAATACAATCTCTTAAATTTAACAAT